GGGGGGGGGGGGGGAGGGTGGTGCGTGTGTGTGTGTGTGCGTACCATTGGGTAAGGGGCAGGATGGAGGGGTAGATGTATGTATGTGGATGTATGTATGTGTGTGAGTGGGCGAGGGTATTGGGGCGAGTGGTGTGTAGGTGGGCGTGGGCGTGGGCGTGGGCGTGGGCGTAGGCGAGGGCGAGGGAGCTAAATGTGACCTGCAGTCTGTGGGTGGGTAATTGGAACTGGCTACTGGCGAGGTAGTGGCGTGTTGGGGCAACGGGGCGATGGGGCGATGGGGCGATGGGGCGATGGGTGAGGGTGAGGGCGAGGGGAGGCACAGTTCATGTGCTCGATAGCGGCTTGTGCCGCTTGGCTGGCGGCTCGTTGGAGCAGGCGTCATCATCGTCCGAGTCGGCGGACGAGTCGATGGAAGAGTCGCCTGACGACGCGCCGCCGACAGGGGCAAGCATGCTGACGACGGTGGTGACGGAGGGGCTCGCGGACGGGCGCGCGATCGGTGCCACCGGGGCAGGAGCGGGTGGAGGCGAGGACGTGGCAGGAGGAGGTGCTTTGGCGGCAGGAGTCGACGGAGGCGGGGACGCGGCCGGTAGAGTCGGAGCCGGAGCCGGATCGGGCAGAGCGTGCTTGAGGGTGTGGGCGCGGGCTGCAGCGTCAAAGGCCGGGCGGGAGTCGGTGTACTGTGCGGTGATGTCGACCATGAGGCCGTCGTCCGGGTTCGGCTGGGCGAGCAGCTGGCGGATCATGGTGAGGAGGGTGGGGATGTTGAGCGAGGGAAGCCAGGCGCCCTTGGGCGGCATCTTGAGCGTGTCGAGGCAGATACGCCCGGCCGAGTCGATGTTCGGGTGGTAGACTGGGGTGACAAAGCGGACAACCGGCGGTGTGAGCGGGTAGCCGTCCGGCACAGTGATGGCGACCTTGAAGGCGCCGCCCGCGTATGGCGTCTCCTCCGGCCCGTCCAGAACGCCCTCCCACTCGCGCAGAGCGCCCTCGCGCACAAGCCACGCTCCAACTCCATACGGCGGGTCGTCCTGCATCAGCTGCAGCTCTCGCGCAAGTCGTCGCACCAGTCTTGTCTCGGCTGCAGCCATTGTGACGAGTGTGGGTGTGGGTGTGGGTGTGGGTGTGGGTGTGGGTGTGGGTGTGGGTGTGGGTGTGGGTGTGGGTGTGGGTGTGGGTGTGGGTGTTGGTGTGGGTGAGGCAGGTGGCGGTGGGGGAGAGGTCCGAAAAAAGGTCGTGGTTTGTGGGTGAGTGAGCGACGGGTGGGTGGCGGGCGGCGGAGGGGCG